TAGTATATATATATATACTATATATATATAGTATATATATATATATATATATATATATATATATATATATATATATATATATATATATATATATATATATATATATATATATATATATATATATATATGTATATATATATATAATGTTTGCGAAAAAAGTTTTTCATTTCAAAATCTGTGATTCAGCAGTGTATAGATCGCAGTCATTGTATTTTAGGGAGTTTTTCAGCATTCGTTTGTTCGGATACAGGCAACAAGTTTGTAACCAGCAGGGCCGAAGGATACTATCAGTAATAAATCTAGTTCACTATTAGTTAACCATTCTCTAAAATTATACATGATACACAAGCCATCGTGAGATATGTTTGTCATAATTCGAAATGAGAAGTTGCGATAGATTCATCGACACTGAATTGTAGTATTGAAGTGGCTGTGGATGCTGCAACGCATTCTACGTTTCAGATCAGTTAACATCTGCGAAATGATGTCCCAAGTATTCGTTTGTATTACAACTGTCTGTCCATCGCTCACTCACTACCAACACTGATATGTTGTTGGATACATTAGTGTTGGTTCAATTCTCAGAGATGCCAATGTCGATTCATCTTTCACGACAACCGTTTGATTGCGGTTGCATGAGATCCAGCTTAGGTTTGTGTTTTGCCATGTTATAGCAATTGTATCGTACGCAAACGATTACAGACAAGTTGTGAGTGTTCATGTCTTTAGATCTTGGGGACGTTAGCTCATATACCAGATAGGCCTGTGTCAGAAAATCAACGAGCCCGCGGTATGCGTACTTGCTGTTTTCGCACCATGGATGTGGAATATCCCCTGAGTTAAATACACAACACAGTTCTGTTCGACGATTGTATCTGCAATACGAACAGATCGTATATTCCCAATCGAGGTAGATTTGTGCTATCACTTATAGGATCGGAATATAGATCCGATACTTGCTTTCCCCGGCTGGCAACGGTGAGGTACTTGTAGTTGAATATACTCAGCTGTTCGTAATGTTTTGGATACCACGCTGTCCAACTCCATCCACAAAGCATAAGTACACATCTAACGGAGGCATTTATCCACGCATAACTAGTGCTTGCGTCGTACAACTGGAACCACAGGTGCATCTGTATATGTGATTGAAACTAATGGGACACATGTATGTGTCTGAAACTACAGGTGCATCTGTATATGTGCTTGAAACTACACGGGCATATGTATACGTGACTGAAACTACAGGGGCATATGTGTATGTGTCTGAAACAACAGGGGCATATGTATACATGACTGAAACTACAAGGGCATATGTGTACGTGACTGAAACTACAGGGGCATATGTATACGTGACTGAAACTACAGGGGCATATGTATACGTGACTGAAACAACAGGGGCATATGTGTATGTGTCTGAAACTACAGGGGCATATGTATACGTGACTGAAACTACAGGGGCATATGTGTATGTGTCTGAAACTACAGGGGCATATGTATACGTGACTGAAACTACAGGGGCATATATGTATGTGACTTGAACTACAGGGGCATATGTGTATGTGACTGAAACTACAGGGACATACGTATACGTGACTGAAACTACAGGGGCATATGTGTATGTGACTGAAACTACAGGGGCATATGTATACGTGACTGAAACTACAGGGACATCTGTGCATGTGACTGCAACTAGAGGGGCACATGCATATGTATGTATATATGACTGAGATACAGTGGCATATGTATATGTGTATGTATTATCCCTCAATCGTCCCTCACTGTATTCACGTATAATAGGCACACGTTCCGATGCCAACATCCGAAGGCGACTTGACTGTTCATCCAGATGCGATGCAGGTGGGCTGTTTGTGTGGCCATCGCAAAACAGGCGCATGTTAGCATATATAGCACTACTAGCGGTAGATCACAATGTGCGATGATATTGAAGCAATCGAGGTACACCAATAGATAATGCGAACTTGCTGCAAGTTGCAAATAGCAACAAAAGAATCTCAGTTGGATAATATACATCGCATGGAGACCCAGCGCCAACCAACCTTCCCACAGACCTATATGGAGTGTCACTCCACAGGGATGGCTTCGATCTTCATTTGATGCTTAAATTTGTGTGCATATTCAGATATTCGAAGGATGTGACCATCGTCAGCTTTCCCGTGTGCATTGAAAGCCACAAGTACAAGCGCAACAAGATGCTATTCAATCTCGGATTTGCGTTCGATTCGAACTCCTACACGGGCGACTACGAGCCAGTCTGTCGGAAGATTGCAAAGTATCTGCGCGAATCTGAGGTTTGTACAACCCAAGCGTCGTTAAGCTGATACATTCTATTATATCTTCCGATATGTTTTGATGCTAGCAATGTTGTGACATTATAATATCTGCTTCGTACGCCTCTGTCAGTATGTAGAGCTGCCAAATGGATGGTTCTTGTCGCCCAATACGGTTCTTGCAATCTCGGTATCACCGTTCACCTGTGTGAACTATATAGATAAACACAATTCTAGACAACAATTCATGCTGATTGCGCAAGGCCACTTGAGCTGTGCTATTAAAGAAGCTGTCCCTCTGTCTGCTACTGAATCATGTGCTCAAAATACGCATAACCTGGTCATACAGCTCCGCGACGAGTTCCTTTCCAATCCTGAAACCAAAGTGCGCCTACCCGAATTCATGATCCGGCTTAGAGAAGAGCTGTTGACTACTGGACAGTGCTCGTTTCAAATAAGTAAGCTCTAGCCCCAAAACTGAACTTGAAACACTTGTGTTCTATGATGTCTTCAAATATGGATTTCAGCCAATTGTAAAGCAATGCGCGATTTATGCGCAAAGTACCATTACGTGTTTTCTTGTGAAAAAATATGAAGACTGGGTGGTTCTAGAAGCCCAACTTGGTAGTTAGAAGCGTAAAGAGACCATGTGTATTGGGGCACTACTCGAGTCCTTTCGCGTCACGGCGATCAATTCAGAACAGTTCAAACTGGCCGCTTTTGCTCCGACAGGACATGCCTCAACTCTACATGAGCACACAAGGCCCGTTGGATATGTTCCCATATCTCTTCCGGCACTACATTAAAATGATTTCATCAAGGATAGAATCCTCGCTCAGCAACATATTCAATGAATATGATTCTTTATCGTATACAACAAACCCGCTTATCGATTTTGTAAATACATGTTTGGAGTTTGATCTGTATCACATAACTTTTATCTATGTTTCATTATTCGCAGATGAATGGTGCCTGATTTATGTTCACCTACCAGTGACCTTACCTGAACCCCCCGATGTTTGGGATTTCTATGTACCTGTAATGGTGAGACAAGCAGAGCGTCAGCAGATCAGAGACGAGTGGGATGGTACATTGAAGAGGGTATGTGTAGCGCCAATGCAGTAAACTGTCTGTGCCGGCACACTATTCGCTTTACTATTTATGGTCACACTTCATCGTTTGACCACCATCTCAACAGACGTGATCGGTCTCTTGAGTTATCTATTATTTCGTATTCAGATCGAGGTTGTTTGTCTTGAGCCGCCTTTTGATACGGGGCGAGGACGCGTTCGTGGTTCGAAGGCGCCCTACACATCTCTTAAATGTGGCCATTGCGCAATCCAGGGGCATTCATATGGGTTTCTTGTACTTTATACGGGGCTTTCAGGTGTACCCCCATATCGATGGGAAGAATCATGTAGCGGACATTGCACACAAGGCGGCTGTTGATACCGTACTAGTCCGAAAGTGTATTCAGCACCTAGTGTAAGTATCAATGTGTCACGCTTGGTCGTGATTTGTGGTCGTGGATCGATTTGGTATTTGAATTGTCGCCATGAGCTCCGGTCTGTGAATCCAGCCAAGCACAGTCATTCGCTGCACCGGATGCATTAGGCCTCCATAAAATGAGAGTTAGAATGGTTCTGTTTGAATCTTGGCCTCAATTCCAGTGAATGGTCCCGCGAGTAGACAATCAGACCTATCTCCGTCCATGTAGCTAAGGTGATAGGTGTGGGTTTTATTTACTACTCAGGTATTATCAAATATGTGTACTGGTGGATATATTTCAGTATGGGAATACCTACATGGTGACTCCAGCGATCAACACACTCTACAATGACGGTCCTCTGCAGGCCCAGTGCTGCGTGTACGTCCATGACAAAGGTGTGTGGTGTGAGTGTATATGAACGGTCGTTCCTCTAGGAAGTAAGTGGATTGTAACATTACGCCAGCATACTGGCCATCCAAATCCATTCCACTGTTTCACAATTAGTTTGCACGACTAACACCTACAGCGCAGCCGCGTTCAGAGTATCACACCGCTCTACGAAGGCACAGCCCTACGCTGATATCATTTACAACGTCATACCGATTCTTGTGGTATTCGTTATCAATTTCTTAGCTCATATGTCCGGCTGGGGCTACGCTTTCCATCCAAGACATTAACTGCACGATTCAATCGATCACTATCCCCACTCCAGATGCCGCTCCGCCCCACATATCCACAATATTCTCGCTCTACACCCGGCTCTCTGCGGACAAGGATGTTTCCACATTCTGTGAGGAGAATGAGCAGGCTCTAGTGGGCGTAGATGTGCTCCGATTCATCCAGTTTGGAATGGTGTTTGGGATATTGAGATGTGTGCGCAGGTGGCCAGTAGTGGTCAATGATTGTACGGCGGAGAATCGCACAAATTCGCCGACGAAGAAAACCGTGTTCTCGGTACCGGACCAGATAAAGAGGTATGTTGTCTACGCATCATTTAAAATGAAGTAGACCTAGGCCATTGATATATGTGTAATACGTCAATGGCGCTGAATCAACTTTGTAGAATGCAAATGCTTATTGCATATCTCCTACCCTTTCAATTCTGGGTAGCTTTTTTCATATTATTATCATCACCCGCAGGATGTAGACCCTGTGATGCGATATTTTTAATATATAGAGAGGGTTTTGGATTCTGTTCTCAAAAAGTGTGAAAAAATGAACTTGAAATTCACCATGAGTGTACAACAATTTGACTGTGTGAAAGTCCCATAGACCAATGGGTATTGGTCTTTTGTTAAACGATTTCAATTGGACAGTGTATTTATAGACAATACATAGTGTTTACTATTTTCCTACCAAGCTTTGCTCACCCCATGCGGGGTAGTCATGTTTACAGTTATATGCTTCTACTGCCCTGGGAACCTTTTGGGCATGGTTTTAGCAAGCCGCCAATACATAGCCTCCACATGTGTTGTGTTGTAGATGCACAACCGATAGGTTTGATACTTGTGGAGGTGTCCCCGAATGTCACGGCCTAGACATGCTTTCTCATTCTAGACTGTTTCTACACTTCACACTATGCCGTTGCAGAATGTTCACCGGAGGCGTACCTTTTGACGAAGTGTGTTACAAACTGTGTGTGAGCGCATCAAGCTTGGCCGAGGCGGTTACGCTGGATCCTACTACGACCATCATCAAGAAGTAGGCTGGAGACCATCCCGCAACCGAAGAAGTGATTGTTGGAACGCTTCTAAGCATTAATGACCCATTTCCCTTTATGAGGCACGTATTCATATGCGCAAGCACGTGCATCATTTTAATTAGATAGTTGACAAAAATTCATCCCATCAATATGACTTGACTAAACGGTTACAATGACTTATATCGAAGCACACGCTTCTGTAGTTGCTCGGGTATAGTGGCGTCATACGAGCTGGTCTCAACACATCACCCAGAACGCTGGCACTCCGAGTGCATTGATTTCATTTCAGCTGCACCCGCCGAGCCAGAAACTGCACATGCACATAACCGCATATACCAAAACTCCAGTGGCCATTCCCGGCCCAATCACACAGAAAATCCTCTGGACCTTTTTCTCACAGAGAGGTTTGCAGGTCGTGTGGTACCCCTTCCCACCTCAGCGTGTATAAAAGGCCGCCCATTCCAGCCGCCGCGTTCCCGTTGTCACCCTCCATCACCCTGAGCTAGTCAGCTCATTCGCTGGTATATCTTCCGACTAGCAACCTGAGCGGCCAGGTCCATGCCGGGGAAACATGTACTGTCGAATACCGCACTCGTGCCTGATACTACTATAGGCGGATTTTAGGGTTTAGACTGGAAACGCTTTTGGGGCAATCCACATGAACACAGTATGATGAAAGACTCTCAGTATTCGAGTGTTGCCTACACCAAGTATAATACGGAAACAGAAGGGAACTATAAACATCCAAAAGCAGATCTCACTCGATTCTTTTTATTCTATTCACTCTGTCATCGCCTTTTGTAACGCTGCCGGTAAGCTGTACGTATATATATCTTTATCCGCCGTGACCAGATGCGCAAATTCTTCCATGGTGATGGTTGCAGCTACATCCTGCAGTGTTTGTTATTTTCATTTCAAGAGTTGTCAGTATATTCAATACGATGTTGTCATATATACTCGTTATGATGCGCGATCTCGCTAAGTTAGGTACAAATACTGGCCTCACCGGCAAGCGATATAAATATTTATTTGTTAATTTTGAAAGCATCAGGCGAATTTACGGCATATACCCGCAGCACACAGAAATGCACTGAAGAATAGAGACTGTAAGAAAAGTCACAGACGTTTAACTGTCGCGCGTAAGTCATGTACGTCGTGGTCTATCGCCACGAATGTTGTGATATGTAATAATACCTTCCAGTCCTATCATATATTTTAAGTCACTCACAACATACAGTACTATGTAAACATGAACTGTGATTCTAACATAGATAGTTCTTCGTTCGTACAAGACATACCCTTTCAATCCCTTTCCAAGCCGATTGCACCTTGTCCACAATTGCCTCTCGCGGCAGCAACGGATGGTGCTTGACCAATACGTCGATTGCGTGCTCCTTAGAATTTGACACGAAGACAGAGTGAAGTGAGACTACCGCTATAATGCGCGCCTGCATTCTTATATCTTATCTGCAACTATCTCAGACAGAACCCATGTAAACACGCGTCATACACATCACATCGCAAGTTTACCTACGCAAACAGATAGATTTGCGCACAACGTACGGCAGTACATGAGGTGACACATGATAAGCAACGGGCTGTCTGAGACATCACTAGCAATTGGTAGACAAATGCGGAATAAGCATATTCGATATATGAAGACAGCCGACAACGGGCCTTCAGCGTTGTTAGGGGTCGAATTGCGACGGGAACTTGACTCGGACAAAGCTGTCTCAGGCTACAACTGCATTGATGTGGAGCTCTGTCGCAATTCAATCCTATCAGATCACAACTTCCAACTGAACCTACCTGACTGATTTCCGACATTTTATCCAATCCGTATACCGAAAAGACGAACTCCACTTTGGAATCCACATCGTCGCTTTTTTCGTTGCTATTCATGTACAGGCCAGCAACGAACTCCTTGAAATCTGTGCCGTTACATCGGTCGGAGTGAAGCGGGTAAAGTGGAACGGTATATAAATGCGTAAACGTGCTTGTGAGTTTTACCTGTGAATTCATCGGTGCTGTACTCGTGCAGCCTTACCTGTGAATTCATCGGTGCTGTACTCGTGCAGCCGTAATATATCTATACCTATTAATAGAAACCCAATCTAGCTAAACACAAACTTCCCTACGCATCCTGTACGCACATCAAGGCATACGACAAGTCCGTACCAAAACCGGCAGCGCACAACCCAAAGACACCCACTACTGCCAGTCAACCGTGCACCACCAACAGACACACAAACCATGCATGCCCCCAGCTCGCACAGCCAGCTAAGACAGCTATGGGGTGGGCGCTCACCTATTGAATCGCTGCCGTCCTTATCCATTATGTTAAACAGCGTGATCGCCGCGACGCGATCTTTCTTGTTTCCTTTGGGTACCACGGCCGTCATGAACTCGTTGTAGTCCAATAACCCATCGTTGTTCGTGTCCATCTTGCTGAAGTCTGCCAGCAGACTCGCAAGCCTGCGGACAGTGATTGGTATGGCAAGTGTGCTTGTCAGTTAGCGGCACAGCAAGCGTGTTCACTCGTTAGTAACACGCATGAGACGGTGAGTCCCAGCAGTGATGTGTGCGAGTATGCCGGGCAAGAGTATCAAATGCACCTGAAGTCTGTTTGCGGTTATTTAAGACCCCAAGTCTTTGATTTGAGTCTGTGAGGGCTTGCATTGATATCTACAACACAAAAATTGTCTTTCAGACTATGTGAAAGGCCGCCGGTATGGGACAAGCACCCCAACCTTCTCGTTTCCTAAGCGCGCACACACACACGCACACACTGAGCCTGCCAGATTTCACACACAATGTAAAACGATCACCACATCGGTGAGAGGCTTTCAGAAGGGTACGTGTTCATAAGATTGTACTACGTGAGGTGTGCTTCATGACGCAGAAGAATCTCTAACTTCTTTAGATTGTACAACAGAAGGTGTGCTACATGAGATTGTAGTACATGAGGTGTGATACATGAAGAAGCAGAGGAATAACATAATTATTTAGATTGAACTACAGGACATGTGCTACATGAAGCATATGAAATACTACTACATGAGATGTGCTACATGACATTGTAATACATGAGTGAAGCAGATATATCACTTACTTCTTTCTCGTCGCATGGTCGGTCACCTCTTTGCACAGCAGATTACAGCCAACGGCGTTCAAATGCAACGCTTTTCTGAACAAGTTCGCGTCCTCTAGCCATGTGGGGGTGAGTTCCATATGCCCCTCGGCAGCCATGTAATTCCGCACATTGTTGGCGTACAGGTACGGATCCTTCTTCTCTTCTTCGTTGGGGATGTATAAAGGTAGGAACTTCACCGTAACGCTGTTGTAGAACTGGAAGAAGCACCTGGCCATCAGCGCTCCCAATGTATCGCCGCTTATCGTCCAAGCTGAGGAAGAAAAAAGATCAATGAATAAGTGGATATCTGCAGAGTTCCCTGCTGCGTAAATGAGACCAAACTAGTAGGTGCATACCTATTGATGAAATTTTGGTACTGTATGTGGTGTATATCTTGTTAAGGCAGCTGCCGCCAATACGATTACAATGAAACTTCCAAGGAATGGTTTGGAAAAACGTCCAATAAAATGCAAACACGCCCCTCATGCTACTTCAGGATAGACAACCTTCAAATCATTCAGTTTTAAAGTCGCCACTTTCGTTTAAGGTACTTATAATGTGCTAATGGGTAGGTATACATGATCTTAACACTTGAGCAATGTATCTGAACAGACAAATAAACAAATGGTTATCAACCGATGCAGATTCAACCCAGATTACGTACCGGGATCATATCGCCTATTGGAGTATTTGAGAATTGCTGGCTGGACAGGAGTGCCTGGGCGGAAAGCCCCGTCTTTAAACTGTAGTAAACAGTCTTGTGCATGTGTTGTACCCTCCGGGAAGATCATCAGAGGCAAGAAATCTGTGTCGTAGAAATTATTTGAAGCAATGTTGATTAGCGAGAATCACCTATGCTATACACAAGAGCCGGAGAGTTCAAGATCGTAGTACGTTGGTGGTACGGGGAGGCGAATCTGAGACTATACCTAAACCTGGATGAGGGAACAAAATATATTGAGTAGGCGAATGCAATAGAAGCCGTGGGTTTGTAACATGTCTATGGTATGGTTTGACTACGGAGTCCCGTTGTATCGCCACACATCACGAGCTATACAGGCAGCAAACCTTACCATCTCCGCGTTCCGGTTTTGTGCGTTCCATGATGTTGTATTTTGTGTATGCTCGCGAGTTCGGATCGGAGCGATACAAAACAATACTTTGAGTGACTCTCAGGTATGGGCCGAAAAGCGGCTTCTGTAGATTCTCCTGTAGAGCCGCGATAGGGTGAATGTGCGATCACATGAGTATCTTATAAATCATGGAAGCCATCGAATACAGACTTGTGCAGTCTTATCAAGTATAAATATAGCGCAATCCAGTTCGTTATATGCTCTATTCAAATAATCTCCCATACATCAGATCCTGGCTGAGGATGTGTTATATAAACGAGCATTCGTAAAAAGGGATTGCGCATGCGTAAATAATATCATACATTGGTATATATGATACAAAACTAAGATCCCCACAACTGCTATGAGCACTTCCAATCAATCAACACCGGACTGATGCCAATCTTTCCCCTGACATACCGCTGCAGCGACAAACATCGGCGTGACGTAGTTCATCAATATAAATGGATCCAAGAACGAACAGTGATTAGACACTATGGTACCAGCACGCTTGTCAACGGTTCCCTCGACTCGTATGTGATGGTAACCCATTGCAAACATCAGCACACGCATGACGGGCTGTAGTCTGTAGGTGAGATGAGAATATATGACAAGGTCGTTTCTTTTGAGCTATGTACATAGATGTGAAATTTTGTGAACTATACATGAATATCAAGTCATTTACATATAGACAAAAACACAAAGATAAATATGTACATACATACACACACCTATATATATATATATATATATATATACGTTATTATATATATATATATATATATATATATATATATATATATATATATATATATATATGTATATATATATATATATATATATATATATATATATATATATATATATATATATATATATATATTA